AGCAGCTACGTCGTCATGACCCGGCCATCTCAGGATGGGCCGCCGACCCCGCCGCAGAGTAATGGAAGCCTAGGTAACGAGTCGGCCGATCCTCTCTCGGAGGGAGGCGTCCTGTGGTATCTCAAGGCGCTCGAGCCGCACGGCACGTCCATTCTCGAGGAGCACTGGGCCGCTGGTCGGGATGCGGTGCGGACGCTTAGCGAGGAGCTGACGGATCTTGATGACGAAGACTTCAAGGACCTCGGGATCGACATTGACGATGCCGTGGCGGCTGCGGTGATGGACACGGAGGAGCCCAACAAGGGGGCTTCGAGCGGAGGGAGCGCCAAGAATAAGGCGAGTAGAATAAAGAAACGAAGAGCGACTAGACGGCGGTAGGGCGAGTCCGAGGGGGGAGTTTTGGGCTGAGGGGTGAGAGCCTCTCTCTCTCTCTCTCTCTCTACGGGATCCTGCTCATTTTTTACCCGTAACCCCCCTTTTTTTTCGGTTTACCTTTTTTCTTTTCGTTTGACCCCTCGGATTCTTTTGATTTTGACTGAGCGCTTTATGATGAAGCATCGGTATATAAGGCTTTGGTGTTGGGAGGGACAGCATTGCTATTTGTTTTCTAAACTCTTTTCTCATATTGATGCAACCCCCATAATCCGACTGGTTTATTAGTCGTTTTTTTTTTTTTTTTCTTTCCCTCTATTCCTGGTCCTTTGCTCAACTCTTCATTCCCACTGAAGGCTTCCTCGTTTCTTTTCTTCTTTTTTTTCCCCTTTACTTACGAAGCTTCTTTTGGAGGAAACGAATAGGAAGGGCGACTTTTGTCGAGCCAGCCCAGGCTGATTCGGCGAGTTGAGCGAGGACAGGGCGCGGACAGAGAGCGTCGTTTGGAAGGGATCTGGCTGCTGGGAGGGTGGGGTGGATTCTACGAGGTTTTTATTTACTGCTTCCGTGGAAGTTGCCTCTTGTTATGGTGTAGGGGATTCAATGGAAAGGTTATTCCGAGAATGGGCTTTCTTTTAACGAATCCCGTGTATAATTCGGTTTATGTTATAATGCAATGATGAGATGAGGTCATTCAGATGCCCTTGCTTGATTTTAGTTGTGTCTAAATTCTGGTGTGTGATCATTCATGGTGTTGAAGCTTGATCTAAGCAGTGAGAATAACAAGAATGGAAATTCTGTTATTTAATGATTCATAGTGTGGAAGCTTGATGACCTAATAGCATGAATGAGGACACTAATTATCGAGGTTCCATCATCCAATTGTTTATGGTGTTGAAGCTTGATGATCAAATGGAAATACTAATTACAAAGTTCAATTGTCCAACTGTTTCACGGTGTTGGAGCTTTGATCATCGAATAATGAGAACACGGAGCGTACTGGATATCGAGATTCAGTCATCCAATAAATCCATGGTGTTGAAGCGCGATGACCTAATAATGAGAACACTAATCATTGAGGAAAAAAAAATCGTAATTCTGGTATTCAATTATCCATGGTGTTGAAGCTTCATGAGTAATGAAAATACTTGATTAGGTATGCAATTGACAAAAGTCGTCAAGTGGCGTTGACGAGGCTTTCGGTAGAAAGTGGCACACATAAAGACGAGGCTGCGGAATTTCCTGATAGGACGACAAAGTTTCATGGCCGAGGCGCCGAGCTAATAAAAGAGCGTTGGAAGTGCTTTTCAAGTTTCCTTTCTGCGGGGTGGCGGGGTTTTCGTTTGAACGGGATAGACGGGAAGTTTTAGTAAATGAAGTGGTACGAGCAATTGGGTGACGGGGGAGTACAAAAAGAACGGAGTTGTTCGGGTTTGATGGCTGATGGGCGTTGGAGAGATTGGGTTTGCTAGGCTTTTTCTATTTTTGAAAGGCTGACTCCCTATATGCTGATGCATGGCTTTTTTGGCGTTCGAGGGCTTTTGTTCCCAAGACTCGAGGGCTGGGAGAAGGGAAGATAAGAACTCGCACTCTGTAACTCATAACTATCAGTGAGCAGCGCTCCGTTCACGTACGGAGTAGTAACACTCCAGCTGCAGGATAGCTATCAAGGCAGCGAGATGGGGCTCCATTCACATCCACTGCACCGAGATCCCAAAAAGAGGCAAAAGGGAACGAGGCGGAATTGCGGGCCTGCAGAGCAACGCGCGTCCAATTGGCCGAGTGCGACCAAGAGCGCCTCGCCTCCCGGATCCCAGACCTCCAAGTCCTGTGGGTTGGGAAGCGCTTTGCTACTACGAACAGGAGGTGCGAGAAGAGTGGCAGTGGGAAAAAATCCTCAGAGAGGGTGGAGAAACTGGCTTGTCTGGTCCCGGTGCCGGACTCGTCAGCAGAGAAGGGGAGGGGGGAGAAAGACGAGGCGAGGAGAAAGCACGGGTTGGCATTGGGCGAGCATCTGATTCGAGGGCTGCCGGGGAGCGGAAGAGACCAGGGGGCGGTTTGTTGGAGGAATCGATGCATCACAAAATGCGAACGAGGATGCGGCAGAACGTGTGAGTGGGAGAGTTCTGGATCTTGAGAGAAGTGTGTGTCTGTTTCCCCTTTTGGGCGGCATCTGGTGATGGCGATGCCTGGCTGGACCAAGACTCTTCTTGTGCCTGGCTTCCCTTTTCCATTCCTTGTCGATTAATCTTTGGTCGATATCGGTTGGCCCCTGTCGGTTTCAAAACCGTCTGCGATGCGATACGAGCGGATGGATGCTTGCTGGCCTGGCTCTAGGCTGGCCAATAGCTACTAGATACTACCTAGTCGGGAGGAGGAGCACGGAGCTGAGCCGAAGAAAATCTGCTGCAGGTTATAATTAGAAAGAAGAGGATGATGAAGAAGAATCAAGACCGAGGAATAGGATCAGCGAAGGGGGAAAATAAGTATAAATGAGCAGAAAGGCGATCAGATGCACAGCCGAAAGCAAGCGAGAAGACAAAACCTGGTTTCAGCTGCGTTGTGTGTTGTGTGGTGAGCAAGATGGCAATGGATGCCTGGGCTGTGATGAGAGGGGGAGGGGCGCGGAATCAAGGCAGCTGGAGCTGGGGGATGCAGTTTGATGGGATGCAACAAGTCGATTGGGCGGTGCCGGATGCGGCGCGTTTTCCACTGCTGTTGCATTGGATTGGATTGGTTTGGTTTGATGGTGCGAATTGGCGTGGGCAGTTGGACGAGGCTTCAACGTCTGGGGCTTGTCTTGATGCTGCTTAGCCAGCACGAGCACCAGCACCACGAGCCATCGCGGGCCACGCTGTCGATGCGTGTCGAATGCATGCTTTTTGCTAGCTCTGGCGTCCTTCTCACGACAGCTTACCTTGCACGTTGCCCTGGCCCTGGCCCTGGACCTGGACCTGGAGAGAGTTGAGGCTAGCAATAAGCTCGGCGAGAGTGAGAGACCAGGTCCTATTCATGGTGGGAGGGGGGGCCGCTAGCAGGCCGCTTCAGAGCAGCCAGGACACGGACGATTTTTTCGTCTTCTCTGATAGTAATCCCTGGCAGCATTGCATTCCATCTCCTGACGAACAGAGATGGCGAGGGTTTGCTGAAGATATAGTATAGTATATAGGTAGTCAAATAGTATCGAGGATGTGGAGAGAGAACTGAATTGGACGAGGAGATGCAGACAGAGATGCAAGAGAAGGCACCACCGGGCGGTAGCACGTGAGACTCGGCGGGCATCATCCAACATCAGCTTCCGTCGTATGTTTGCTGTCTCACTGGATGAATCATCTCGGGGTCCCCAATGCGCTGTAAATACAGGCCGTAGCGCCCCGTAGGCCAGTTGAGCCCAGCACTGGAGTAGACACCTCAACTGGATAGTGTCGCCCCGGCACTGCGCGGCAACAGCAGGACCTGACCTGAACCCACTTGTTCCCTTCTTTTTCGCCCGCGGAGGGAAAAAAAGCCTGCTTCTCTCTTCCCTCTGCCACCACCCAAAAGCGACCCCGTCAACCCAAGTCTCTGACCCCAAAGGACGGCCTCTTTTGCCCACGACGACCGACGATCTCCATCATCGTCCACCATCAAAGCCTTCAGTCATCGACCTCAGCGGTTCTCCCCTTTGCCGGGACTTCCCAGACGCGACGACGCTGCCGAAACAGCAGCCGAAAACAAAAAGACACGAGAAAAAAAAAGACGGCCCCGAAGCCATCCCCAACCGAAACCCTCGAGCGACGAGCCCTTTTTCTGAGGCACCCACGGCGAACGACGGCTGCATCATCAGCGGCTCCCTCCTACCAGAGTATCTTACCATAGATCGTCTCCATCATCACGAGAGCAAGCCATCGCGCGTCTAGAACGTCTGTTTCTGCTCCGCTGCGCCCTCTCTGTTATTTTTTTCTTCTCGCGTTGGCTCTGAGCCCCCCCGAAAAGAGAGGCCTTTTGCCCGCACAGCTTGTGAGTTCCTTCGCCCTTAGTTTTTTCCCCACCTGGCGATGCGCGCTCGCTCTCCTGCTGCTCCTCGGCGTCCACGCACCATCCCGTCGGCGATTGTCTCCTCCCCCTCATTTCGACGAGAGAAGGAGGCACTGGGGGAGAGAGGGGGGAGAAGAAGAAAGAGGGAAAACAGAGCGTCGTGATGGAGCACCGCGGCGGCAATCGTCCTCTGATGGCCAGATTGGGGACCAACCAAACCCCCTCGCCATCAAGCCGTTGGCCGCCGCCTGCCATCTCGCCCTTTTTCACCTTTCTTGCTCTTCTTTCCTTTTCATCGAGCTCGGGAGGGGACCAGCTCCCTCGGATGACCTGGCTCACACCATTGATGATTCTCGTCGTCTCTTCTTTTTCTGACATTCGACGATAGGATCATCTCTTTACTTTTCAGAGTGCATAGTTTGACTAGTGTATCATCATTGTCGTCGTGCATCTTTTTCTTTCTTTCTGATCGAGGGCCGCATCATTTTGCGCATCGGCCTGCTTTCAGCACGCCCTCCCTTTTCCCCTCTCCCTCTCTATAACGCGCAGCCTTTCTCGGCTCATCCATCCGATATCCGCGAGCCGTCCCTCCCACGGGGAGCATCTCTACGATGGCTGACCAACACGAGGTCGATCTCGACTCTATAATTGACCGGCTGCTCGAGGTCCGAGGCAGCCGACCCGGAAAGCAGGTGCAGCTCCTTGAGACTGAGATTCGCTATCTGTGCACCAAGGCCCGTGAGATTTTCATCTCCCAGCCCATCCTCCTGGAGCTGGAGGCCCCCATCAAGGTAAGCCGACGCCGCCGTCGCCTGCAGCGAGAAGCGGGACAGAGGAGGAGAACAAGAGACTACGATAGGGGGCGTGTGCTGACGCAATGCGTTTTGACAGATTTGCGGCGATATTCACGGCCAGTACTATGATCTCCTGCGCCTGTTCGAATATGGCGGCTTTCCTCCCGAGGCCAACTACCTCTTCCTGGGTGACTACGTCGACCGTGGCAAGCAGTCCCTCGAGACCATCTGCCTGCTCCTTGCCTACAAGATCAAGTACCCTGAGAACTTCTTCATTCTGCGTGGCAATCACGAGTGCGCCTCCATCAACCGCATCTACGGCTTCTACGACGAGTGCAAGAGGCGTTACAACATCAAGCTTTGGAAGACATTTACCGACTGCTTCAACTGCTTACCCATTGCCGCCATCATTGACGAGAAGATCTTCACCATGCACGGAGGCCTCAGCCCCGATCTGAACTCGATGGAGCAGATCCGTCGCGTCATGCGTCCCACCGATGTACGTCTTGTCTACAGAACCAAGCACTGTCTTGACAGTTGTACCCGCTGAAATCACCTGCTAACATTTCCGCCTCAGATCCCCGATTGCGGACTGCTGTGCGATCTCTTGTGGTCCGATCCCGACAAGGACATCACCGGCTGGAGCGAAAACGACCGCGGCGTGTCCTTCACCTTTGGCCCGGACGTGGTGTCGCGCTTCCTGCAAAAGCACGACATGGACCTCATCTGCCGCGCTCACCAGGTCGTGGAAGACGGCTACGAATTCTTCTCCAAGCGCCAGCTCGTCACCCTGTTCAGTGCGCCCAACTACTGCGGCGAGTTTGACAATGCGGGTGCCATGATGAGCGTCGACGAGAGCTTGCTCTGCTCGTTCCAGGTTTGTGCCACCCACTCAAGGCTCCAGGCTTGATAGAATGCCCTGCTAACGATGTGTTTTCCCCCGTCTAGATCCTCAAGCCCGCCGAGAAGAAACAAAAGTACGTTTTTCCTATAATTGGCCCCCAATCTTGGAGAAGCAGTTATGCTAACAGATTTCCACCAGGTTCGGACGGCGTTAAGACAGTGAGACGATGCTCGTCGGCCTCTGTCGGCTGACGGTATCTGCCTCGACGACCTACCACCGCCGACTTTCTTTTTTGATTCTCCGACTCTTCATACTGCGGCCTCTTCCGTCGCTGGTCACGGGTTGCTTGGAGAAGCCCACGCCGAGCTTATCCTGCATTAATGTACCGACTCGGCGATTCGCTCGCATCGCCTCTAATGTCCCAACATGCAAACTTTGTCATGACAAATGACTGTTTCTTAGCTTCACAGATAAAATCGTTTACACAAAAAAAAAATACATCATGTCACTTTTAACTGGGCTGGATTGGTGGACAGCATGTGACGTAGCCGTGCTCTAGTCTGAGGTGTTGACGCGCGTAAACGGTAAGGAGATGCCTACTGTGCAACCTGGGGCTTGTTTCATGTGGCTACGAGGACGTTTCTCTATACGTCTCCTGTTTATCATCCTGTTTATCACGAAAGGCTGACAGGTCGGTTCGACAAGGACTGAGATTCAGCATAGGAACGTCATGTTGTCTTGTCATTGAATGAGCTTATGCTTCCTGCATGCCATGCTTTGACATTTTCTTTCCAATTGCCGTTGCTCTTTTCATCTTGATATCACTAATCTAGTTCCCCCCTCTTAGTTGCAGTCTTCGCAGACAATGCCCGATGAAGCTTGTTGCTGCTGCTTCTGGGAAGAATCCTTGTCCTGGCGAGCAGTAGTGCCCTCTTTCGTTGCGGCTGCTGATGCTGGGGCATCATTGTCCTGCGTGGTGCCATCAGCTGCAGGAGCTGAAGTGGCTGCATAAGAAGCTGAGTTGGCAGCCCCAGCAGCAGTTGCAGTTGCAGCCGCAGCGGTAGTGGTGGAGGAGGGGCCAGAGGAGCGATGATGATCGCGATCAACGTGCCCCAGATCGCGCCCCGGCTCGATGACGTCCCTGACGCGGCGCTTGAGGTCCTTTGTCTCGGGGAAGCCGCCGTCTGTTTTGCGGTCCCAGAGGGTTGTGCTTTGGATTGTTGCTGGTGCTGCTGTTGTTGTTCCTGTTTCTGCCCCTGATGATGATGATGATGATGATGGCTGGTGGTGGTAAATTGTGACGATGAAGACGCCGCCTGTGGAGGGCTGGAGGGCGACTTCGCCTATGGAAAGGGAGAATGTGGAGAGGAGTTCTTGGGCGTACTTTTTTTTTATTGATTTTTTTCTCGACTTGTTAGTTTTTGATATGGGATAGCAAATTGGGATAATTTGAGTGGGAAAGGTGTGAATATAGAGAGAGAGGGAACATACGTAGGCGGCGCGCAGCATCCATTTGCACTGCGTGCAGAACTGGATGGTTATTCGTGGGAGGGGAGCCGTGATGGGGCCCTGGGGTGGTGTGGATGAGGCCATTGGTGCACAATGGGACGGGTAGGACTTGTTTGGACGGTGTTGAGATATGGGACTGCCGCTGCGTCTGTTTCGGTGAGGTTTCTGGGATGTGGTGGTGATGTTTTGAGTAGGTAGGCAGTGTGGGTTACGTTATGATGTGAGCAGGTTTGTTGATGAGCGAAGGGCTTGATGTGAGAGAGCCTCGGAGCTTGTAACGGTTAATGAGGTCAGCTAGGTAGCTAGGGATTTTTATGTGGAGAAATGGGCTGCTTGATAATGGTGGACGATGAGCGACTTTTCTTCTACTACATGCATGTGTTGACAGATATCAGTGAATTATTTGAATGGCTTTAAACATCTTGGACGTACAAGGAGCATGTGGTATTAGCTACTGCCTGCTCTTTTTGTCTCTCGTTGTGACGGAGAGTTGCCTCGTTGGAAATCGCATTCAAGGGTAAGGTACTGTAGCATCAATTGATGAGCTCACGTGCCTCAAGGCAGTACATACTTGTTAAGAGTGGCTTGCCACGCTGGCTGCCTAGAGCAGAACACCACGACATCGTAGCACAGGGTAAACACATGTACTGTATCATGGGGTCAAATATAACAATCGAGGGATTTCAGCATGTACTGAAGCCATGCATTGCATATAAAGATTCAGCCACTCGCCAGACTGTGAGATTGCTTCTCTTCGTCGTGGCAAGACGTTCCAGAGCAAATGAAGCATCATGATGATACCGACACGAGGGATCGCAGTTGCTTCACGCCTTACATCACAGTTCATGTACAGAGAGCCACAATATGAACATCCATCCATCAATTATCTACACTCCACACCACTATACACTACATCCCACCGTTTCACCCAAATACCCATTCAAGCACCTCTCCCTCAGCACAACCACCGCCTCCAACGCGCAAAAATGAACGTAGAAGCTACCGGATAAGAGTAAACAACAACAGGCGTACAGGGCGGGCATCGACCGAACAAAAAAGGAACCATAGAGAAATCAGGAATTAATACATGCTAAAAGGAGCCGGCTTTCCCAAGAAAACCAACAGTAGACCCCTTTGTCTGGATATCTCTCGTCCCCCTCTGTCCCTTTCCCAACCCTGCCTCGATGAAAAACCGCTCGACTGCTTTATTAAAAAGTAAGAGAGCTGCAAAAAGAATAAAGGAAAAAAGGAAAAATAACTCGTAGAGAAGAGAAGAGTTGTAAGGGGCTGTCCTCGGTCACGACTGCCACCACCGCTTCGTCTGGTGTTACCTCGTTCCCCTCGTCGTCTCCTCTTCCCTGCATAGCATTGATATAATCATTGAGACTGTGTCGATCCAGCTCAGAGTCCCGTTCTAGTTTCTCGTAAAAGGCTTCCGGACCAGGTGTTTATTGTTTTGGATGGTGTGTCGGCGTGACAAAGTCGTTCGCTCGCTGCCTGTTCCCAGCTGCGTTTGCGTTGCGTTTAAAATCAAGAGAAAGAGTAGAAAGTAGAAAGCCCTTGTCACACAACAAGGGAGAATAAAACAAATCGATCCCACGCCAAGAGCTCCTTCATCATCGACGGTCGTTCCTCCAAGTGTCGGAAATCGAAATTACATGACGACACAGCAGCCGCCGGATTGCTGAGGTGCATAGGGATCCTCGCCCTTTGGTACTGTGCCCCATACCGACGGGACCATGTAATCTCTTGTACCATTGCAGTACGCAATGATGCTGCGGCAGTCGCGTCAGCTTTCCATTCCCTGCTCGACCCATGGTCGCGATGCATCTTTGGTGCTTACCTCTTGGAGGCGGTGCTGACGGGGATGCGTTCCCGGTCCAGATCCTCGCGTAGTCTGTTGTTGAGCTCCGTGAGGCGCCTCAGCTTCAGGTCTGCCATTGACTGCTTCGTCTTCTTAATCTGAGTCGGGTCGCCGACATCACGAGAGGTGTACTGAGGCATCGTAGCGGAGGGTGAATTAAAAGAATGACTATCGAGTTGGAAGTGATCCGGAACGGAGCGATGGATGACTCGCGAATGCGTCGGCCGGGGCGATGGACGGTGATGACGGATTGGCGCGAGAACTGCAGGCGGTTGTCCGGTTAGCACTCAGTCAAGCTCGGGTTGACGGCGCGACAGCTGAAATGGGAATTGCAGCAACGCAAGGCGACCATAAATAGGAAAAAAACAAGAGCGTGGATGTTTGCTGCCCGTCACGCTGGCACGACCGTGATGCCGGCTCGGGAGACGCAGTGCAACGGATGCAGAGGAGTGATTGACAGCACCGGTCGCCAGACGAGGCGAGACACGACAAAGACTCGGCAGATGCGGCGAGCAACGAGCCCGTCTTGGTTCGCCATGAGCTGCAGGCGACGGCACAACAAAGAACGAGGCCATCGTCTTGAAACCTGTTCCCCCCTTTTTTCTTCGTTGCTGCTGATGCACGTCGTCTTCCATTCAATTGAACCATCGCCATACGATCCGGGCGTCGTGTCTCGGTGGTGCCATCAGGCAGCCCTCTCCTTTCCGCGCCTCCTTCGGCGTATTCGCAGTCACAGCGCAGCGGGACAAGATATGAAAAAGAAGCAACCAATGAATGACTTACCACCTGTCGTTGAAGAGAAGAAAAAAATTAAAAAACCCTCGTTTCTTCAGTCGCGAGAAAAACAGCGACGACACACAGGCTCCAATAAATGGGGGGGATTGAGAAAGAGGAGGGGATTTTGGGTCGCGAAAGGGCGAGAGGGAAACGTGCGTTACGTGTGTGTGTGTGTGAGTGAGAAAAAGAGAGGAGTAGGCAGACCGGCCAAAAAAAAAAGAGAGCGAAGAGTGAGGGAGTGAGAGAGAACGCCTGGGCTGGGAAGAAGGAGAGATTGGATGGGAAACGGCCGCCACACGAGATTGAGCCAATGCACCAGCGAACCGGTGCTTTAGCGGGCTGCTGCCGGCGGATAATTAGCAGTGGAGCCCGCTGTAACTTGGGGCCGGGGGGGCGGCACCTCGACTCCTGTAGGGGGTCGCAGGTGCTGGTCCTGGGGCTAGGGAACAGTTGGATCATGTTGCTGCGCTCGGCTCTGGGCGGGTGGCTGCTTGGCTTCAAGCCTGGGAGCTGGGTGGGGACGTGCGCCGCGCTGGAAATTGGACCGACAGGGGGCTCAGCTCTTGGTCAAACCGCCAGGATCCGGCGCGGTGGACTTGAGGACTGGGCTCTACATACTAGTATTCTCCTTCTGTCCTTGGTCATTCTGTGCTCATGTAATACAAGAACGGTGTGCGCAGTTGGGATTACATATCGCATGTAGGATTCTTGCACAAGGCGGAAACCTGCAGTGGGCGCAGACGGGACCCTTGAAGCATCGTCTGTATGTACCCCTTGCCGTAGCCAGCGTGCTAAGCGGTACCTGCTCCCAATCGAGGCTCGCTGCTCGTACCAGCGCGGATGGGCGGAGTGGCGCGATGCTTCTAGTACCGCGCTAACACCACCTTAACGTCGCGCTACTGCAGGCCTCAACTTGGAGCTTCTCTCTGCAATGGAGGCCATATGGGCATGTTACATGTACAGTATCGCAGAGTTGACACTCGTGGCAGGTGCTTGCACATGGTCGACAGCTCAGAATCATCGCTGGGTGTATGTGGACGCACCAACTGCATCGCAAAAGATTGGCTTGCCAACGCACTATTGGAGCCACGAGGCGCGAACAGGTCTAGAATCATTCCACTTCAATTGCACAGACCAAGCTGGAACGGCAAAGTTAGATATGACGAACTTGCTTTATTCTCTATCTAGGGGTATCACGTGAGATTGTCCGCATACATGTTCACTGATGTCGAGACTAGAGAGATGGATGCACTTGGGTCATTCGTAATGCTCTATAGGTAGGCGTCAGTCATGGCGGTATACATTAATATCCTTCTCTCATGCCACGTACGAGTCGTTTTCATGCATTGGACATCTGACAGACTTGACAATATTCCAGTACTGACAGTACATGGGGCCGGTCGTCTTGAAGAAAGGAAGAGCAAGGCGAGGTAAAGACACTTCAATCGCCAGTGTCGACTTCAAGATCCAGCTGCACGCCATTCGAGATGCCGTAGTCCTCCAATGTGATGTGGTCCTTGAAGGGCCGCTCGCCCTGTCGTCTCAGCATGATTTGGCCGGCTTCTCGGCCGATGCGAGCGGCAATCATGAGCTTGAACTGGCCGACCGTGTCCGAGGGCAAGCAGGGAATGGCTGACTTGGTGCCGAGCCGGTCGTTGACATGGACGATGATCATCTCTTGTCCAGCAGTGGCAGAGGGTTTGGGCGCCTTGTTGGGCGCCTTCGCTTCTTTGGGTTCTCTGGGCTCTTTCTTCTCCGTAGTCTCCCTGGGTCTTCTCTTCGGCTCGTCGCCTTTGAATCGGAAGCCAGAGGTGTGGCGTCGGGGAGATCGTGATCTTTGACGCCTCTCATATCGGTCACCACCGCGATCCGGTGAACGATCGCGATAATCGCGCCTTCTGCCATGGTCGCGATATCTGTCCCCATCCCTTTCCCTATCGCGGGTGTCTCTCTGCCTGTCTCCATCTCGTTCTCTGTCGCGATTGTCTCTGTCCCGATCTCCGTCTCTTCCCCTGTCGCGGTTGGATCTTTCTCTGTCTCGGTCTCGCGACCGATCGCGGAAGTCGCTGTTCCGCTGATTGCGCATCATGGTGGATGCGTGCGTGCGAGAATGCTGCAGGAGCGATGTTTGTTGGAATCGCAAGCAGCCTGCCGAAATGTATATCGGAATGCTAGATACTTACGTGACTAAGCAAGCACGTGACGCTCTACGTCGCTACTACATGATACTAATTCGAACCGCCAAGAGCTCAAAAGATTCATCACACCTTCACCGGTCACCAGCGGTAAAGTCGACGATACCTACGTAATTAGGGCGATGTTGCTCCCGATCCTGAGAAAGAGACAGAGGCTTTGTATAGATGCCCCGTCTGCTCTCTTTCCGCTGGATTACCGAAAAGATGAG